TATATATATAATAAGGTAAATTATTGATTTAATATAAAGAGGAGGATATAACTAGTAACTTGACAAACAAGATATCAAAATGTTAATCATTATTGATATCATATACCACGTATTTTGATCGAAATTACACGACTCCAATATAATTAATATAATTACTACAACATAATTTTCAAAAACAAAGGCGGACTTTGCTATGATGTTATTTTCTGAAATTAAATTTCGAATATTCAAAATGGGTATCGAGACGAATCTGTAAAGAAATCATTTTTAAGGGAGTTGTGGATTGAGAAACCAACTTGTCTCTAGTGGTATCAAACCATCATTCGTTGGGTTTAGGCAGTGTTTCGTCAACTGATTTGATCATATAATAAGTAGTTATGTTGTTTACATATCAAACCATTCTAATTCACACCTGATGACTGCTCCTCGCGGTATTTTTCGGGTTAATAACCCTCTATAGTTTTCTTTTAACAATATATTAAATATGATATATGATTAATTGAAAAATAATCACAACTACATGAATTTTTAATCCATTTATATCCCAAAAAATTAATTTAAGTATATTCATCTTTTTACCTTATACTCTTAAAATAAAAATTTGACTTCAAACTTATAATTATGAAAACAAAAAAAATTAAGAATAATTTATATTTTAATTCATATGATTACTATTCACTATTAAATATCGTTCTTATTAACTTATTACAGTATGATTGTTATCTTGTTACATTTTTACTCCCTCAAACTAACATCCGATAACTTCTGTTATCATGCTTATTACAAACTGGTAGAAAAAAATATTATACAGTGTATGGAGTTTTTACTCTTGGAATTATTTTTGCTTTATAACTCGGCTTTTGGTAAAACATGATTTTGTCTAATTTAGAACACTGCATAAAAATCAATATAGCATATAATTAGACTTTATGTGCTTTTAAATCATTATTAATTATTATAAAATTATATTATTTTAATAAAATAAATGATTGTGACAAAAAAATTAATAATTTAAATTCAAAAAATATATCAAGCAATATTTTTTTCCCCTTTCTTTAAATTGTGATCATTGTCATTAAGATTTTATTTAAAAGTGTGATCGAGTTGATAAAATTATAAAATATTTTAATAACACAATTAATTTTAAAATATCTAAAATAAAGAATCTTTTGGAATATAATTGGAGTGAAATTTGACCAATATTATTTTTTTAGCTAAATTTGTTACGTTGTTCATTTGACTTGTTAAAATAAAATATAATATAAACTGACTTATACGGAAAAAAAAACTATTACAGGGTAAGGAGCAACAGAAACATCATCGGGTAAGTAGAAGCTAGGCGGGCAAGATGATCACGTCAGGTCGATGACGATGCAATGGGTGGGGAAACGCAGGGCCGGCCCTGAGATTTTGGATGCCCACGGCGGAAAGTCAAAAAAATGCCCCTTATATGTGTAAATAAAAACCAAAATAA